TCTTGCTCCAGTGAGACCACATGTGTCAATATTTACTCTCGTTTTGTAAAAGTGGAAGTTTTTACCATGACAGTGATCTCGACCACATCAATTCCATACACCCAGTCATCAGATTCACCATGGAAGTCGAAAAAGATGGCAAGCTACCCTTTTTGGATGTCCTAATTAAAAGGAGACCTGATGGTTCAATGAGCCATTCTGTCTACAGGAAAGCCACCCATACGGATGCTTACCTAAAACCGGATTCCCACCACCATCCATCCCAGAAGAATTCCCTCATCAAGACTCTATACCATAGAGCCCAATGCATCTCCGACCAGGAACACATTGCCAGTGAACTCAAACACGTACGCCAAGCTCTTAATGGTTACTCCGACTACACAATCCATAACTCCAACCATCAAGAAGGATCCTGTTGAGGAGCCTTTCAAAACCATCACCTTACCCTACATTGCTGGGGTCACAAAAAATATCTCCAAAATCCTGATAAAATACAAGATCCAGGTCCGATTCAACACAGTACATAAAATCCGTGATCTGGTCCCGTCTGTAAAAGATGTGGTTCCAGACATACAGTACCCTGGCGTCTACAAACTAAGTTGCCTCTGTGGTAGCAATTACATTGGAGAAACCAAACGACATGTCTCGGACCGCATCCGTGAACATAAAGCAGACTTGAAACACGGTAGGACAAACACCTCAGCCGTGGCAGATCACTGTTACAATTCAGTGGGCTCACATGATATTGACTTTTCCAAGACAGAGGTTCTCTGCAAGCCATCTGGCTACCATGAGAGATTCGTTCATGAGGCGATCCACATATACAAACACAGAGACAATTTCACCCGAGAAGATGGATTCTGGCTCGGCAATCATTGGAAGGACGTAATAAACCATTTCGGATCTTAACTGAGTGTGTTCACGTTTTCGGTGACTTTCAGACCGCAGTCCACTCATTGGCATTGACTATATATATTGTATTCTCCGCAGGGAATGGATTCTTTGCTCCGCTGCAAGTCTCCTATCACCACTCTCCCATTGACATATTTCGTTGCTTCCTCTTAGTATCTTTCACGCGACGGTCAATGGTATAGTGTATAGCGGATTGTATAATAATTAATAGTATAAAATTGTAATGTTTAATACAATGTACAAAGTAATATATAGTATCGTAATTGTATAGTGAATATACAGCAGTGTGATATACAGTAGGGTGGGTAGAATAATACATAGTGTAATATTACAATGTATAAGGTTTAGGGCATGTATAGTAATACAGTATATAATTTAATGTTGGGTTTGTCTATGGCAGTATATAGTACGGTGTAGACCCGTGTGATGTAAGAGAATAAAGTTTAGCTGGAAGCATATTATATTTTTTGCGACATAGAATTGTAATGTATTACTTACTGTTAGTAGCTCAGCTTATTGGAGAGTATATTTAGTATACTGATGATACTATGTAGTTTATACTTTAGTTGTTTACGTGGTGGTTTAGTTACTGCAGCTACAGACTATTAACATTCCTTCCCTTTATTAATGCTTCCCCCTATCCCCTCCCTTTGATGCTGCTAATCCTGCATAATGCACGGGCAAAACATAACTTTAAACCCCTCGCCAAACCTACGCATTTCACTAGTACTAAGCGCATATCTGCATTTCCCATAATATGCTAAAATTCCTCTTGATATGCAAATTATGTTGTCAAGGCACTCTTCCTCCTCCCTCCCAGCTTAAATATACGCTCCAAGCCTGGGGTGTGTCATTCAGACTCTGTCGTCTCGACAGACCTGTTCTTCACCTGAGGACGGCTGCTTGCGTTGTGGCCGAAACGTCGTGAGAATTATTTTATTGGTTTATTTTTATTATTTCCATTCTACGTGACTTTACCAAAAGAACCAAGAAGATGAATCCCTGCAGTCACGAAAGCTTTCAATCGAAACCAAAGAGTAATTCCTGCAGTCACGAAAGCTTCGAATCAAGTTTGAACCACCTGTACGGGGAGGGTGTAAGTTGTTTTCTCTCTCTGTCAAATTTCACACTTAACTGGAGATCGTAATTAGCCCAGCTATGCGTTAACTGTGTTAGCCGACTCTTGCATTGCATTACATTTCCAATTTTTTTTAATAAGTTTGTTTTCTCAAACGGCCTATTTCTCTCTCAAAAATTTACCAGGCTCTCAGAGGTCCATTCGCTCTATTTCTCTCCCCCCAGACGCTTCGGGTTGGATTTCCACACCTCTCTGTCTCTGTTAGTCAAATTTCACACTTAAATTCCAATTTTAGCAATCTTTGGAGATCGTAATCAACCAGGCTATGTGTTAACTGTGTGTTAGCCGACTCTCTGTGTTGCATTACATTACATTTCCAAAAGTTTACTAAATTGTAATCTCAAACTATTTCTCTCTCTAAAATTTACCAGGCTATCCTCATAGGGGCATTCGATCTTCTTTCCCTCGGTCGCTTCGAGGTGAATTGGCAAGAACACGAGGACACAAGCGCATTTTGTCTCTATACTCATCCCACTGATTAAGTATGTCTAAAGACGAAAAACATGTTCTGCGAAGCTTGACATAAACCATGCCTGTAAATAATTATTCCTGCCTTAAGTGGTGCTCCGCTGCCGTCCATGACCCTAATTGTTTGCAAACGGCGCTCCTGTGCTGCACAGCTCAAACACGTAGGGATCCTGGAGCAGCTGAAGAAATTCAAGCTGGAGGAGCTGGTCATGCCACCGCTTCGAAAACCAAGATGCTGACATCAGGTACCACCTCTCCGTGCCTCCCCCATGACCCGGTCTCCTCTCCACTCGTGCAACATCACGCATTCACTTGCTCGCCGACGCCATCCACTGGCCTGCACAGGCAAAATAGAAATGGTTGTTTGTTGACCTGTCATGGTAGTCCAGGAAGTAAGCGGCGTGTGTTTCGATGCTATCTGTTGGACGGGAAACTTAGTTTTTCCGTTACCCGGCCGCGCCATTGTTGGATGTGCCAGCTTGCATGTGTGAAATTGAGTGCACGAAAAGGCGCTCACAAATCCATCGCTCTGATCTAAGTGAAACGACCACTCATCCTGGCACGGGGTCTCTGATTGTCTCAATGAAATACTTTTAACTATAGAATTGGAGGCACAAAGGCTAACAACTCAGTGGTTTTATAGATTATATACTGTTCTTGCAACTTATTGCTTGAAGACAATGTTGGTTAAGTGGTATTAAATAACGTGCTTAAAATAGTTCACTTCCAACGTGCTGCAAAGCGTCCATCACATACGTTTTCTTTCATTGTATAATTGTACTGGACCATGGACCAAATGTTGTCTTGAGTCAAGCTGCAAGGCTCTTAGGTTTAACTTGGCAGCAGAGGATTGTGTAAAGGCACAGAGGAAATGAGGACCTTTGGGGGGTTTGGTAGCAAGGACGGTGCCAGTTAGTGCAATCGCCCTGTGCTCGTGTCCCATTTCTCACTGCGTGCATGTGTGCGTGTTTCAACAGCGCCGTGCAAATACGGTTACCTACTCTCAAGAAGTTGGTGAGTGCCCACAGATGCCTTCCCTCACACCTTCTCACCTCCTTTCGAGATTCATGTTTCCAAACATTCTGGTTTACCCACACATTCATAAATATTAATAATCATAAGTTCGTTTGCCAAATACAACCATTGAAACGCTCTTGAAACAGTTCACCATTACCAGCGATGTGCAATCCACTGCTGGATGAAGCTCTCCTCAAGCCACTGCTATTTGATTTGATCTTTGGATGTGATAATCCACCTCATACCAGCACAGCAGCTGATTGCATAATTCCATCTCCTCGGTGGACATCTATTGGATGCGTTCCATCCGTTAGTTGCCACTTCCATCATTATTTACCACAACCATTATCACCTTCATAATTGCCATCGTCGCCATGATCACCATCACCACCACCAATTTTATTATCACCATCAGGATGGTCAGCAGCTACTGCAGCTGACTGTAACCTCAACCGCGCTGAACGAAATGCCTGAGTTGGCTTCCAACCCTGCAACAGCCTCAAACCCTGTGGTGGCTTTCAACCTTGCGGCTGCCTCCAACCTTGCGAAAGGCCCCCCAAGCTTGCGAAGGCCCCTAAGCTTATGAAGGCCTCCAAGCCTGCGAAGGCCTCCAAGCCTGCGAAGGCCCCCCAAGCCTGCGGAAAATTCCACTCCTGCAGCGGCCTCCATGCCCGAGGCAATCAATGTAACATCTACGGAGCAGCAAATGTTGCAGTTCTCCAACTCGGGGATTAACGTCTCATGGTCACTGATGTGAGTGAGCATGTGTGAGGCATACGGCCCAGCGTGGCTAAGTTATTCTCCCAGCACCTTGAGGGCCGTGCAGCTCTGTGGGCCCAGCCCCTTCCATTCTTTCCTGCCCCTTTCTTCCCTTGAGTTACATTCCATTTTAACAGGTTAATAATGTATGCTTGGTTTAGTTGATGTACATCCCAAGTTGATTTATATTACACGCTTTCTTTTAACTCACGGTCTGTTGTTGTTTTCGTTGTATCCTCAAATCTTGTAACTCAAAATTTACCCACTTCCCAATGTGGTATCGACTTGGTATACTTACGTCATACTGATGACAATACTATATTCTATCATAAAAAACACATTTTAAACGTTTTCTTTTATATGTTATGTTTCGGCTTGGGTCTAATTGTCCACGGTCAACTGACGTTGGCTGTAAATCACCACGGTTCCTTACGTCATGCCAAGCTTCGGGGACACTTCCTGGAGTTGTGGAGTTCTTCCATGATTAGTACGGTACATTTAATTAAAGCGTGTTTTTAAATTTAAAAAAGAAAATATTACTTATTTTCATCACTGCCATTGCCTCCCTTAATGCCACCACCTCCATCATCACCCTAACTGCCTTTACCTCAATAATCACCATCACCTCCATAATTACTGCTACCACCTCCATTGCCACCATCACCGCCTATAATTGCCACCACCACTTTCACCGCCAGCATGGACATAAGCACCCAGTGCTCCTGCGCTTTATTAGTCTCACGAACGCAGCAGCAAAAAAACCCAGAAATGGACATGGACGTCGACATGAAGGCTGAGCGAGTGTACGGCACGCGGCTTCATAAATACCTGGGGGGTGGGGGGCGTGGGGAGTTCTACATTCATCGACACCGCGAGAACCTCTGCCAGACAAGAAACGCTACGAACACCGAGGTGAAGGCATGGGGGGGGGGGGGGGTGTGCCTAGCGACCCCCTCCTCAGAGGTCGGTTGTAGGTCCCTGGTGCAAATGTGTAAAGGTGCGTCAAAGAGTGTGTGCGTACGTAAGGATCTCTGAGTATGTAGGGACGTATAAGTGTGTGATTAAGGATACATGGGTGTGTATGGTTTATCTGTGTCCATGTGAGGAAGCAGGCGTGTATCAGGATGTTTATGGGTAAGTGAGGGAGTAGGAGTGTGTACCGGTGTGTATGTGGGAGCAGGAGTGTGTCAAGGTGTGTGGGAGCAGAAGTGTATCAGGGTGTGTGGGAGCAGGAGTGTGTCAAGGTGTGTGGGAGCAGGAGTGTGTCATTGTGTGTACAGGTGTGTCATGGTGTTAACGGGAGTGTACGGGTGTGAATGGCTATGTACTGATGTGTACAACCTGTACACATCCGTACATCGCCGTTCACAGCCGTGTGTGGGTGTATACAGGTGTGTACGGGTGTATACGGGGGTGTATGGGTGTATATGGGGCTGTACTGGGCTCAGGCCCCGTTGATTCAAAAGGCCGCCCTCAGCGTCACAGTCGTCTCACTGAGGCACCCGTCCCAGATGCAGCGTCGTTGCTGCAACCGTGCCACACGCAGGGGCCGCTGGGCCCGTATATACGTGCGTACGTGCCACTGGAGCGTGGCACCTAGTTGAGTTTGGGCGTGCGCGGGGACGTGGGCCAGTCGTAGATGTCGGGCAGGAAGGAATCGTACTCCGTGGTGTAGAGCTTGGAGCGCACGTATGCGTCCTTGTCGTGCGGCTCCGGGTAGTGGAACGCCATGTTGTTGGCGTAGACGAACTGGGACACCTGGTGGGCAGGGGAGGGCGGTAGGAGAGGGCGACAGGGTCGGCGCAAGTAGGGGGGCCCGCGCGGGCACGTGGGACACGCGGTGGGAAGAATGCACGACAGAACACGTGCACACGCAACACATACACAAACAGCACACACAACGCACACGCAACATGGTACGTAATACACGCACACATTGCGTACACACAAGACACACGCACATATGTAGCGCAAACATACAAAACATGCAGACACAATACACACACAACATGCACACAGCATACACACATACACCCAAACATTCATATCTCAAACAAAACACAACAACCGCCATTCACCAGTAAATGGTGGTGACGTCACCACGGCGCTTGTGCCATGCTAGGTTCACTTTGAGGTCACGTGAAGTGTCAAAGACCTGCTGGCAAGAGGTCACAAAACAGACCCAGGTGCCATTGGTTGACCGACTGAGATGACTGGCAGATGCACCAACTATTTTACCCACTCTGCCAACTTTTTTTAGCCGCCCAGCGCTCCACTCGTTGTTGTGAGCGTCCCCCCTCTACCCTCCATTGTTGCTGGACGGCAACTGCCTCCAACTCCCCAACAGCGGAAATGCTTAGTAAACCTGCATATCTGACCTTGTGGGTTGGAGATTGGATCGACAGTTTTTTCTCTATGCAGTACTGCACGGCTCTCAGAACCTCCGAGTAAAGGCTGCGGTAAGTCCCCTCATTTTCCAACGTAAGATGCTGTAGATGGTGTAAGTGGGCCTGTCACTTTTTCTAAACTTGCCAGTACTGAACCTCATCCATTTCCCCTCGGCATCAGGAGGAGGGGAGGAAGATGCCAACTCCACCTGCAAGCGATGATGATATTATCGCTTACAACCTTCATGAGCTAGGCGAGACCAGGCTATTGTGATTTTGAATGGGTCTGAGGTGGATGCCCACCACCATATTGAAAGAATGGCAGCCACATTTTACAGGTGACAAGCTGATGGCCTGGGCATATCAGCTCAACGGGAGGTGCTGGTGTCAAGGATATGGGCCCGCATTCACTGTTCCGTCACTAAATAGTCCAGCAGGTGTTCTTGCTTGAACCCAGTGTGCATTCATGACGTTGTATGGATGTCGGAACAGCGTGTTGGTGATTAAAAACCCATACAAACCCAAGGGCTGCACAAAAATATAGCAGCCTCCTGTCGTTGTTATTGAGCTGATTTGGTCATTGCCTTCCAATCACTGCAGCCCAGGTTCCTGCGTTATTGACCCACTCATGCATTGAGTCACCCAACTGGACGACTATCTCGAGGGCCACATTAGCTACCACCTTTGACAAGAGGTCATAGAAGGAATCAGACGCATCAGCTTTGCCTGCATCTCTCTACTGATGTTCATTTTCAGTGGCAGCGTAAGCCACCGATCACCATTTCTCGCCTCCCGAGTCCACAGTAGCCTAGAACTCAGATTCAAACACCTCACCACCACGCACCCACGCCCCCTTCATTATTTGGTTCAGAAAAAGAGCCACTCCCTGTTGTTTGGTGGTTTCCTGCCCTGAGTGGAGGACTCTCTACCCCTCATGATGACTGGAAACAGAACCAGTCTACTGGACCTCCTGTATTCCACAGATGTCCAGGCGGTACCGGTCCAGCTCCCGACAGAGGAATGGAAACCTCTCCTCCGCAGTAAGAATTCAGAAATTCCATTTGGCGGACCTCAGTAGTTTCCTGCAGTTTTAAAGGAACTCCAATGGTGAGGGTCCAGTGATCTGGCTCTGATAATGGAGTTTGGCCAGGAGACGTCAGATGCCTGTTCCACCGGGACCTCCGACACAAGCTTGTTTTGATCTTTTATTCGTGGTTTAGTGGTACTTGAATTGAAAGTAGAGAAGTTGCCAGCCCCTTGCACAAGTCCGCTATATCGGCTCCGAACAACATGAGGGGAATTAGAGGACAGAATCGGCCTTCCCCCCCAATGGCATTGCTCAAAAGTCACCACAGTGCTCCCGAGCCGCAAGCACCGAGGAGGTGGGGGTTGTTTTTCCGGTCATGTATACATTTACACAGACATATGCATGCAGCGTACACACCACACACACATGCACAGACCATGCACATAACATGCACATAACATGCACATAAAATGTACATAACATGCACATAGCATGCACATAACATGCACACACACAGGGCAAGCGGGGAAAGGAGTGGATGCAGCACCTTGACGGCGATGTTGATGGACACCTCTTGGATGTCGGAGAGGGGCGGATACAGGAGACCTTGGCTCAGTGACTCCTCGGTCACCTGCTCAGCCAGAGTCTGCGGGGGGGAGGGCCGGGAGGAAGTCTCTCTTGAACACCCGATGTGGGTGACACATGGATGTAGGTGAGGGCAGCGCGCGGACGGGGGCTACGTGCAGGTGAAGGTGACAATACCTTGGCCGCCTCGAGGAACACCTTGTCCTTAATGTGGCGCACGCCGCAAAGAATCACGGCCAGGGCCACGCCTGCCAAGGGCACACACGTACACGCACATAAACGGACGCATACACATACACGTACAGCAATGCATGCACACATACACACACAGGCACGTGCACACACGACGTTACACACACACACATACAATGTGTTTTAGCATAAAAAGTGTGAGCATGGGTTGTATGTGTGTGCTGCAGTGTGTGTGTGTAGTAGTTTAACGCGCGCCAAGGGGGGTAATTATACACACGTGTGGGTTGGGAACAGTGGGGTCGGATCGGGACATGCTGCTGTTGCTGGGGGCCAACGAGTGAGTCGGAGACGGCCCGTTAGGCAATTATGGATGCAGGGCAGTGATTGGCCAGTTGTTGTTGAATACAAGGTGGCGCCTCAAAGTCTGAGAATGGAGACAGGTGGCAGGGGGGCCGGGGGTGCGGGGCGTTAGGGGGGATGCCAACTAATTAATTGGGAATGAATGAGGAGGGGGATAAATAGAGGTGCGTCAGAGCAAGAGGGGGAGTTGTGCTGGGAGCTGGACGGAGTCGGTCGGAGCAGAAGAAGAAGAAGCATAGAGTAGCAGTGGAGAAGAAGCATAGAGTAGCAGTGGAGAAGAAGTGTAGGGTAGCAGTGGAGTAGAAGAAGAAGCATAGAGTAGCAGTGGAGAAGAAGTATAGGGTAGTAGTAGAGAGGGAGAAGCTGAACGAGAGAGATAGTCGGACAGACGGAGAAGCCGAACGAGAGAGATAGTCGGAGTGAGACGGAGAAGCCGAACGAGAGCGACAGTTGGAGTGAGACAGATAAGCCGAGAGAGAGCGACGGCTGGAGTGGGACGGGGAAGCAGAGAAGGGAGTCGGGAGAGACGGAGAGAGAGAGGGAGGAACGGAGCGAGCGAGGCCGGCGAAGCGCGGCAAGCGAGCGGAGAACGCGTTAAAGGACGGTGGCGAAATGTGCTGTGTTGGACAAATAAAGTGTCGACAGAAAAGGAAGAAGTTGTTCACGTAAAGTTCAGCACTACGTGTGTAAGAGGATGTCACTCCTCTGTCAGGAGCGGGACCGATACTGCCTGGAGCTTTGCAGTATTCAGGAGGTCCAGTGGACTGGCTCTGGCTCCAGTCACCATGAAGGGTAGACAATTCTCTAATCGGGGCAGGAGACTGCCAAACAACAAGGAGTGGCTATTCTTAGGAACAAAATAATAAAGGGGGCGTGGGAGCATAGCGTTGAGGTGTGGTGTGAGAAGCTGTAAGCGCCAGGCTACTGTCGACTAGCCTCCCCATTAGTGGGAGGTGAGAAATGGTGGAAGTTACATATGTTCCCACCAAAGATGAAGATCAGAGGATGGATGCACACAAGGCCGATGAGTTAGATGCCTGATATGACCTTCTGTCACAGGTGCTAACTCAAGTGGCCCCACGGGATAGTCATAATTTTGGGTGACTTTAATGCTAGACTTCTGTGCAGAACCATGGGCTTGTAATTACAAACACACTGTTCCAGCATCGGTCCATCCACACAACATCATGGATGCACACTGGGTCCAAGCAAAAACATTTGCGAGACTATGTCGTGATGGAACAGCAGATGACAAGACACCAAGACCTACCATGGAGCTGATCTGCCACTGACCATCGGCTAGTCATCTGTAAGATGTGCCTGCCATTGTTCCACTCCGGTGTTGAGTGTCCTTCTAGGACCCTATTCAAACCCACAGTGGCCTGGTCTCAGCTAGCTGATGAAAGTTGCAAGCAAGAATTTCATCATTGCGTGCAGCTGGAGTTGGCATCGTCACCCCCTCCTCCTGAATACCGAGGGGAAATGAGTGAGGTTTAGGACTGTGGTTCATGCATCTGCAATGGCTGTTTTGGGTACACAGTCCAAATTTCCCCAGAGACCCGAGCTGATTGAGGAGGTATTCTGGCTGGCTGAGAAAAAGCGACAGGTCCACTCCCAGTCTACAGCATCCTACATCAGAAAATTAGGCTTACCGCAGCCTTCACTCGGAGGTTCGGAGAGCCAAGCAGCGCTGCAAGAATGAGTGGTGGTCGGGGGTTGCTGAGAAGATGTAATCTGCCTCAGTAGCCCGCGATCCCAAACCACTCTTTAATTCCATAAAAAAGTCACCTGCAGCGCCACACCTATCACCATTCTTATGGGAAAGACAGGTGATGCGATTTCTGACCCCTAGGAACAACTTTGCAGGTTTGCGGAGCATTTCTGTGAGGTTTTGGGGGAGGGGAAATCCCTCAGCCCATAAAACATCATGGGGAAAAGTGGGAATGATCCTGCAGAGGCTACGGTGCCTTAAATATTGAAAAAAAATTTCACCCCCTGTGAGTGGCTGGCTGAAGTGCCATCTGTTGAGGAAGTACGAAAGGCGATCCAGAATCTGAGACGAGGAAAAGCACCGGACAGAGATCATCTTCCAAGCGAACTGCTGAGGGAGGGTGACGTTTATGTGCAGACTGCCTTATATGTCATCGCAATAACTGTCTGAATTTTTTTTTGTTTATAGTAATACAGTATATAATTTAATGTTGGGTTTGTCTATGGCAGCATATAGTACGGGGTAGGCCCATGTGATGTAAGGAAAAAAGTTTAGCTGGAAGCATAGTATATTTTTGCGACATAGAATTGTAATGTATTACTTACTGTTAGTAGCTCAGCTTATTGAAGAGTATATTTAGTATACTGATGATACTATGCAGTTTATACTTTAGTTTTTTACTTGGTTGTTTAGTTACTGCAGCTACATACTATTAACATTCCTTCCCTTTATTAATGCTACCCATACCCCCTCCCTTTGATGCTGCTAATCCTGCATAATGCACGGGCATAATATGACTTTGAAACCCCCCACCCACCTCCTAAGCATTTCACAAGTAGTACTAATCACATATCTGCATTTCCCATAAATATGCTAAATTCCTCTTGATATGCAAATTCTTTTGTCAAGGCTCTTCCAACTCAGCTTAAATATACGCTCCAAGCGTGGTGGTGTTTCATTCAGATGCTGTCTCCCCGACAGACCTGGTCTTCACCTGAGGACGGCTGCTTGCGTTGTGGCCTGAAACGTCGCGAGAATTATTTTATGTTTTATGTTTATTATTTCCCTTCTACGTGACTTTACCGAAAGAACCAAGAAAATAACTGTCTGGACCACTGATAGGGTTCTGTAGGATTGGAAGGATGCCCGAGTGGTCCCCCTCTTTAAGAAGGGAAACCTGCCCAGACTGTAACAATTACAGGGGCATCTCCCTCCTCAGTGAGCCGGAAAAGGTCCTGGCAAGGATGATTCAGCATCGCCTTGCCAGGCACGCTGAAAAGAGACTTGCGGAACTCCAATGTGGTTTCAGGCCAGGGCAGTCATGCACATACGCCATATATTCTGTCCGTCTGCTACAGCAGAGATGTACGGAATTCCAATAAGACCTACATCTCTGCTTTATGGACCTGGTCAAGGCCTATGATACCATCAATAGGCCTAGACTCTGGGTTGTTCTTTGTGCTTTCGGAGTCCCTGACTGTCTGCTCACAATCATTAAGGACCTTCATGATGGAGAGCAGGACCAGGTAAAGCTACATGTCTGTAAGTCGGAGCCATTCTCTGTTCAACTTGGGGTGCGACAGGGATGTCCTCTGGCCCCCACATTATTTTTTAAAAAATTCGATCACGTAGTTCGTAAAGCCTTCGATCGCTGTACCGGAGGAATTTCCATCTGGTACAGATACAATGGGAGGCTGATTGATGTCCGAGTGCAGTCAAGGGATGGCTCCCTATTGGTCAACCATGTTACGTATGCTAATGATCGAGTGATTTCTGCTCACTCAGAGGAGGAGTTGGAGGTGCTGCTGCTGAACCTGGAGCGTGCCACTAAGAGGTGGGGCCTTACTATCAGCCACAGTTGCGGAGAGAGTGGAGAGTTATCCATACATGGGCTGTGTGTCATGACTGGCTCCTGTTTTACAGCAGAGGTCTCACTCCAAAATTAGTCAAGTGGCATTATCTTTTCATCGGTTGCGTAATGCTGTGTGGAAGCTACCTGGTCTATCGTTCCACACGAAGCTTCGGCCATGGTCATGCCCTCCCTTCTCGATACCTGCGAAACATGGACCCCCTAATGGAACAGATTTGCCGGTTAAAAACATTTAGGCTGGCCTGCCTATGATCCATCCTGAGTTTAACCAAGTTGGATTGTGTGAGGAGCTCACAAATCCTGGAGACATCTGGACAAAGTCCCATTCGTGAGCTCCTCCGGCAGGCAAGGCTGCATTGGCTGGGTCATGTAGCCCGCATGTGCAGTCACCGCATGCCTAAACAGCGTTTGTTTTATTCTTTGGTTCTTTCGGTAAAGTCACGTATAAAGAAAAAATAATAAATTAAATAATAACATACGACGTTTCGATTGCAACACAAGCAATCATCATCATCATGGCTTGGCTTCGCGAACGAAGATCTAGGAAGGACATCCACGTCTTCTGCAGGCACGCTGGTGGCTGAAGAGGCCTATGCGGGACAAGCAGGTCCTGCCACAACAGCTGCAAGTATAGGTCTCATCTGGGATGGGTGCTGAGGGATCATGGTTCTTCCTCCTTCTCCTTTTGTCCTCCATACGGGCCCTGCGGGTATCTTCGAAGAAGGAGGTGGCCTGGTGGACTGTGTGCCGCCAGGAGTTGCGATCAGCTGCTTGTGTTGCCCACTGACGGTGATCGATGCAGCAAGCAGTGAGGGACTTCTTCAGGGAGTCTTTGTATCGCTTTCGTGGTGCCCCTATGTCGCGATGGCCAGAGGACAGTTCCCCATACAGCACAATCTTAGGCAAGCGGTGGTTCTCCATCCTGGCGATGTGCCCTGCCCAACGAAGCTGTGTCTTGAGGACCATGGCCTCGATGCTGATGACCTTCGCTGACTTGAGGACTTCAGTGTTGGCGACGAAGTCACTCCAGTGAATATTGAAGATTGTGCGGAGGCAGCGCTGATGGAAACGCTCGAGGAGACTCAGGTGACGACGGTACGTGACCCAGGACTCAGCGCCATACAGGAGAGTGGTCAGCACAACAGCTTTGTAGACGTTGATCTTTGTGGCTCTTTTAAGGTTTCTGTTGTTCCAGACACGTTTGTATAGTCTGCCAAATGCACTGTTTGCCTTGGCCAGCCTGTTGTCGACTTCGTTGTCGATCTTGGCGTCAGACGAGATGACGCACCCCAAGTAGCTGAACTGGTGGACAGCTTTCAGTTCTGTTTGTTCAATGAAGATGCTTGGTGGATGGTGCTCCTCATGGGGTGCGGACTGATGAAGAACTTCAGTCTTCCTCAGGCTGACTTCAAGGCCGAAGATCTGAGCTGTTTTCGCGAAACAGGACGTAATTCGCTGCATAGCTGCCTCTGTATGAGCAAGGAGGGCGGCATCGTCAGCAAAAAGCAGCTCCCTGATCAGTTGCTCCATGGTCTTTGTGTGGGCCTGCAAACGCCTCAGGTTGAACACGCTCCCGTCGAGACGAAAACGGATGTATACGCCATCAGCGTCGTCGAGGTCCTCTGTGACCTGCTGGAGCATCATGCTGAACAAAATGGTGAACAGCGTGGGAGCAAGAACACAGCCCTGTTTCACGCCGTTTGCAATAGGGAAGGGCTGCGAGAGATTGTTGCTATGTCTGACTTGTCCAAGCTGGTCTTCATGAAGCTGGACGATCATGGTGAGGAACTTCGGTGGGCAGCCTAGCTTGTCCAGGATTTTCCAAAGTCCCTGCCTGCTCACGGTGTCAAACGCTTTTGTCAGGTCCACAAGGGTGACGTACAGTGCTTTGTTTTGCTCCCGGCACTTTTCCTGAATCTGCCTCAGGACAAACACCATGTCTGTGGTTCCCCGGTTGGCTCTAAAGCCACACTGGGTCTCTGGGAGGTGATCTTCAGCTATTGCGGGTACCAGTCTATTCAGCAGTACTCTTGCGAGGATTTTGCCGGCGACGGACAGAAGTGTTATGCCACGATAATTGGAACAGTCTGATTTCTCCCCTTTGTTCTTGTACAGGGTGATGATGACTGCATCTTTGAGATCTTGAGGGAGTTTACCCTGCTCCCAGCAGCAGACGAAGAATTCATGGAGTTTGGTGTGCAGTGCTGGGCCTCCGTTCTTCCATACTTCAGGAGGGATGCCATCAACTCCTGCAGCTTTACCACTCTTCAGCTGTTTAATGGCTTCCTCAGTTTCTTGTAATGTTGGTGCCACATCCAGTTCGGTTTTCACTGGTTGTTGTGGGATGCGGTCAATCGCTGGTTCTTGGACTGAGCGGCTAGCATTGAAGAGCGTGTAGAAGTGCTCAGACCAGCGGTTCAGGATTGAGTCCTTTTCAGTGAGCAGTTTTTTCCCGTCTGCACTCCGCAGGGGGCTCAGGATTTGGTACGAGGGGCCATATACCACTTTTAGGGCTTCGTAGAATCCCCTGTAGTCGCCAGTATCAGCGCAAACCTGAGTAAAGTCACGTATAAAGAAAAAATAATAAATTAAATAATAACATACGACGTTTCGATTGCAACACAAGCAATCATCATCAGGTATAATGAAATAGCGACATAAAATCTAACCAGAAAAAATTATAGACAGACATATAAGCAGACAGATATCACCAAGATACACACAGCGGGCAACACAGGTACAGAGAGGGGTGATCGTCTCTGTGGGGTGGCCTTAAATAGACAGAGTTGTTTTGGCTGGATAGAGAGGGAAAAATGGGCAAGGAATGGTCTAGAGAGGAGACAGATTGATGTGGTACAAGAGGATGTGGAGTTAAATGGACTTGCCGATGACTGGTACCAGCGGTGTCAAGATCGCCTCTGTGGAGAAGGCTCGTTAAGGATGCTACTGGGCAGTTGGAGGCAGTCGCCCTCCAGCAACAACGGAGGACAGAGGAGCAATACTCACAACAATCGGAGTGCCGAGTCGCTAAAACACAGCAAGTTGGCACAGGAGGGGGCACAGGTGGTGCATCAGCCAGTCATCTGAGTCAGTCAACCCATGTCACTTGGGTCTGTCCGGTGACTTCCTGCCAGCAGGCATTCGACACTGCAAGTGGCCTTAAAGTGCACATAACCTGGCACAAGCGCTGTGGTGATGTCACCACCACTTTGTGGCGAATGGCGGTTATTGTTGGTGTGTGTGGGAAGTGGTGGCGCAGCAGTCAGCATACTGTGCTATGAACCCTTCCACCCAAGTTCGATTCCTGCTCACAGCCAATAGCAATGACGATTATCTTAACCGGTCCTGGGCCTTCTCTAGGTCGACTCAGCCTCAAATAAGTACCTGATGTGTATAAGCATCGCTACTGGGGAGACAAAAGCGGTCGGGCATGGTGCTAGCCACCCACCCCCTCATGTACCATGCCAGCCTTTATTAGGTGCTTGCTAACAGCACTTATCCTACAGAGTGTTAAGTCTATACTGGGGATATTTGTCTTCGTGTGCGAGCGCAGTGTGTGTGTGAAGCGCATCACCAGGAAAGATGTACGCGTTGTTGCCCTGGCCAGGCCTGAAGATGCGACCGTCCGGCAGAGTGACCGGGTCGAAGGGGCTTCCGCTAGCAAACAGGCACCGCCCCTACAATGACATGGGATCATCAGACTCAACAGCACTGCACAGCCACTCCTCTTGGAAGTACGGACGTCCATTGGTGATTGCATGTATATGACAGTCTAATTGTGTGCGTGACCGTATATTGATGAGTGCCTATGTACACAAGCCTGTGAGTGTGTGCACATGTGCGTGCGGTGTATGTGAGGGCAGTGTGTGTGAGCACAGTGTGTGTGAGCATTCGTCTGTGAGCGTGTGAGCATTCGTCTGTGAGCGTGTGTGCGTACATCTGCGAGTGTGTGCGCATGGTGTGTGCGAGCACGGTAAGTGTACGTACGTCTGTGAGTGTTTGCGTGTGTGTGTGTGTGGACGTCTGTGAACATGTGTGCATACATCTGTGAGTATTTGAGCATGTATGCATATATCTGTAAGCATGTGTGTCTGTATGTGTGTGTCTGGCAAAACAACCCCTTCCTCCTCGTGGTGCCGGACGGGCAACGCTGTCGTGGGCAGTGCTGTGGGGGGAGGGCCAATTCCAATTGGCCTTTCCCCTCATGGCGTTTGTGGCCACCACAGCAGCCAAAATGGGGCTCTGGATGGGTGCGAGGGGCTTCAATTAATTATCGCTAAACCACGACGGAAAATTTAAATTAATAAGCTTGTGCCGGAGGCCCCGGGGGGACAGACGTCTATGACGTCACCTGGCCAAACCCCATTTGGCGGAGCCAGGAGACTGAATCCTTACCCTCGGGGCTCCTCCAGAAACAACAAAAAACCACGACGTGTGGCCACGTGGAATGGTCGAAAGCTCACTGCGGAGGAGAGGCTGCCACTTCTCTGTCAGGAGCTGGACCGGTACCGCCTGGATCTCTATGGTATTCAGGAGGTCCGGTGAACTGGCTCTGGTTCCTGCCACCATGAGGGGTGGACAGTCCACTTCTCGGGGCAGGAGACTGCCAAACAACAGGGAGTGGCTCTTCTTCTGAACAAAATAATTAAGGGGGCGTGGGAGCGTGGTGGTGAGGTGTGGGAAGCTGTAAGCCCCAGGCTACTTTGGGCTCGCCTTCCTATGAACCAGAGGCGAGGAGTGGTGGTCGTGGTTACTTATGCCCCCACTGAAGACGAACATCCATGGAGGGATGCAGGCAAAGCCGATGACTCAGATGCCTTCTATGACCTCCTGTCACAGGTGCTAGCTAAAGTGGCCCCTCAGGATAGTAATTTTGTTGAGTGACTTCGATGCCCGAGTTGGTCATGCTGCTGGCACCTGGTCTGGAGTGATTGGAAGGCATGGGCCAGATCAATTTAATAATAACGACAGGAGGCTGCTATATTTTTGTGCAGCCCATGGGTTTGTAATTACCAACATGCTGTTCCGGCATCGGTGCATCCACACAACATCATGGATGCATGCCGGGTCCAAGCAAGAACATCTGCTGGACTACATAGTGATGGAACAGCGGATGCGGGCCCATGTCCTTGACACCAGTGGAGCTGATCTGCCCACTGGCCATCGACTTGTCATCTGGAAGATGCGCTGCCATTATTCTACTCCAGTGGTGGGTGTACACCCAGGACCCCATTCAAACCCTTAGTGGCATGGTCTCAGCTAGCGGATGAAAGTTGCAAGTGAGAATTTAATCATCGCTTGCGGCTGGAGTTGGCATCGTCCCCCACTCCTCCTGATGTAGAGGGGAAATGGGCGAGGGTTAGGACTGTGGCTCATGCAGCTGCAATGGCTGCTTTGGGTACACGGTCCAGACCTCACCAGAGACCCTGGCTGACAGAGGAGGTGTTCAAGCTGGTTGAGAAAAAGCGACAGGCCCACTCTCATCGGCTACAGCATCCCACGTCGGAGAATGAGGAGGCTTACCGCAGCCTTCGCTCGGAGGTTCGGAGAGCCGTGAGGTGCTGCAAGGATGGGTGGTGGTCACAGGTTGCTGAGGAGATGGAGTCTGCCTCAATGGCCTGCGATCACAAATCGCTCTTTAATTCCATCAAAAAAGTAACCTGCAGCGCCACACCTATTACCATCATTAGGGGAAGGAACGGTGATCCAATCTCTGACCTCCAGGAACAGGTTTTCAGATTTGCTGCGCATTTGTGTGAGGTCCTGGGGGAGGGGACATCCCTCAGCCAGGAAAATAACTTGGGATAAAGTGGTGATGACCTAGCCGAGGCTGCGGTGCCTCAAATATTGGAAGAAGTCACCCTCTGCGAGTGGCTGGCTGAGGTGCCATCTGTTGAGGAAGTACTGAAGGCGATCCGGAGTCTGAGACCAGGAAAGGCACCGGGCAGAGATGATCTCCCAAGTGAAATGCTGAGGGAGGGTAGCGTTTGTGCACAAACTGCCCTACATGACATCATAACAACAGTCTGGACCACTGGACGGGTTCCGCTGGACTGGAAGGATGCCCTGGTAGTCCCCCTCTTTAAGAAGGGGGACCGCACAGACTGGAACTACAGGGGCATCTCACTCTTCAGTGTGCCAGGAAAGCTCCTGGCAAGGATTATTCAGCATCGACTTGCTAGGCACACTGAGGAGAGGCTTGCGGAGCCCCAATGCGGTTTCAAGAAAGGACGGTCCTGCACAGATGCCATATTTTCTGTCCGTCTGCTACAGCAGAGGTGTAGGGAATTCCAACAAGACCTACATCTCCGCTTTATTGGAGATGTAGGTCAGTAGGCCTGGGCTCTGGGTTGTTCTTCGTGCTTTTGGAGTCCCTGACCATCTGCTCACGATCATTAAGGACCTTCATATGATGGTGAGAGGGCCTGGGTAAAACTACGCGGCCGAGAGTAGGAGCCATTCCCTGTACACCTTGGGATGCGATAGGGATGTCCTCTGGCTCCCACATTATGTAACATCTATTTCGACCACGTAGTTCGTGAATGAAGCCTTCAATAGCTGTACCGGAGGAATTTCCATCTGGTACAAATACAATGGGAGGCTGATCGATGCCCGGGTGAAGTCAAGAGATGGTTCCCTATTGCTCAACCATGTTATGTATGCCGATGATCTGGTAATTGCTGCTCACTCAGAGGAGGAGTTGTAGGCGCTGCTGCTGAACCTGGAGCTTGCCACTAAGAGGTGGGGCCTTACCATCAGCCCCACCAAAACTAAGCACCTGCCTGGGTATTTTGTACCATCGGGCACTCCACCCCCACAACTCCCAATTGGTGATAGGGCAGTTATGTAGAGAGTGGAGAGTTTCCCATACCTGGGCAGTGTGCTCATGACCGGCTCCGGTTTAACAGCAGAGGTCTCACTCCGAATCAGTCGAACGGCATTATCTTTTCATCGGTTGCGTAACGCTGTTTGGAAGCTACCTGGTCTGTCGCTCCGCACGAAGCTTCAGGTCTTCTCGGCCACAGTCATTCCCTCCCTTCTCTACGCTTGCGAAATGTGGACCCCCCGAATGGAACATCTTTGCCGGTTAGAAACATTTAGGCTGGCCTGCCTAAGATTCATCCTGAGTTTAACCAGGCTGAATTAGCTCACAAATCCTTTAAAGATGTGAACAAAGTCCCATCGGTGAGCTCCTCCGGCAGGCAAGGCTGCGTTGGCTGGGTCATGTAGCCCGTATGCCCAGCCACCAGGATGTGGAGCTGTTTGCCGATGACTGGTACCAGCGGTGTCAAGATCGGTCTCCCACCCACCCCCTCGTGCCATGCCGGCCTTCATAGGTGCTCGCTAACAGCACTTCATACCAGCAGTCTGTTAAGGCTACTGGGGGGATATTTATCTTTTGTACGTCTGTGAGTGGTATGCATGTGTGCGTATGTCTAGGAGCATGTGTGTGCATATGTTTGTGAGCACATGTGCATTGTGGCTGTGAGGAAACGCCATGAGGACCGATTCCAATTGGTGCTTCCCCTCACGGTGCTCGTAGCTATCGCAGCGGCAAACGGGGAGGGCTCTGGACAGTGCAAGGGGCTTGTGGCGCCTTCACATTCAACTAAATAACCACTAAAACATGTGACAAATATCAATCTAAGCTTGTGCTGGAGGCCCCGGGAGGACAGGCATTTATCACATCTCCTGGTCAAATCCCATTTGAACGAGCCAGGATACCGTACCCGTACCCTCGGAGTATGAGCTAGTGATTGCTGTCCACTCTGAAAAAGGAGCTGGAGATGTGACTGCTGAACCAGGATCATGCTGCTAAGAGATGGGAGATTGGAGAAGTTTCCATATCTGGGCAGTATGCTTATAACTAGCTCCGGTTTGGCAGATGAGTTCTCGCTCTGAATCATTTTAGCAGCATTATCTTTTCATTAGCTGCGTAATGCTGTGTGGAAGCTACCTCGCCTGTCGCAACATATTAAGCTCTGGATGTTCTCAACCACACTCCCTTTCTATGCTTGTGAAACATGGAGCCATTTAAAGGAATTTCTGCACTGGTTTGAAATATTTAGTCTGGCCTGCCTACAATAATTCCTGGGTTTAACGAGACTGAATTGTTTGAGCTCACAGATCCTTGAAAGATCTGGACACAGTCCCATGAGTGAGCTCCTCCGTCAAGCGAGGCGATGTTGTCTGGGTCATATAGCCCGCATGACCAGCTACCGCATGCCAAAGCAGCTTCTGTTTGGCCGGATAGATCAGGTTAAATTGGTGTAGCACGGGCTATAGAAAAGATGGACTGATGTGGTACGGAAGGATGTGGAGCTGATTAGACTTGCCAATGACTGGTACCAGCGGTGTCAAGATCGGTCTCTGTGGACAAGGTTAGTGAAGAATGCTACTGGATAGTTGGAGGCAGTCGCCTTTCAGCAACAACGGAGGGCAGAGGAGTGGCGCTCATAACAATGACCAGAGCACCGAGCAGCTAAAACGCAAAAAGTTAGCACAGTGGGGAGCCCAGCTGGTGTACAATCACTCCCCGCTCATCGTCGGGTTTGTGTTCCTGGAAAATTTTAGTTTAAGTGAAATAACATGAAGTGAATCTTGACTTTTTGGGTCTTTCAGTAAAGCCATGTAGATAGAAAAAACAATACAATATCACGACGTTTCGATCGCAAAA